CCGTACTTTTTCTTTTTTGTGTCATTCAGGCAGTGATCCATAACAGAATTTGACAGGTTCGGGAGAAAAGCAGATTTAAGACTTAAAATAACATATGAATATATTTACACTGGAGGTATAATAGATGTATGTGATTTTATTAATAACTATCACGCCTGTGGATGCAGGACACCGATAGGTAAATATCAGAAGAATAGACAACGTCCTCATCAGCAAAGAATCAAGCGGACAGGCTGACAATAATAAATAGTGAGATTAAAACGAGAAGAGTTGTGAAGGAAATCAGATAACGGTTGCTAAAATGCAACTAACAAATCATTAGTCTTTTAATTGAGGGCTGGAATAAATGGTTGGACGAAATATTAACTGTTTCATACTTCATAATGTTTCAAAGAATATTATTTTTTAGTCAAAAAGCTAAAATTTATTTAAAAGACGAGAAAATCCTAAAAATCTTTATATTTAAAAAAATGTTAATTTTTAAGATTAATTTTGTTTTTTTTTAATATTTTACTTAAAACTTGAATAAACTTTTAATTGATTAAATCATTAATTTATGGATAATTGATTCGTTATATAGTAATTTTTTTTGGAGAGTTCATATCGATAAAAAAAAGATTGCGACCTTGATGTTGGATTAAGATATAATTATGGGTGTAGCCGTTCAAATTTTAAGTCTGTTCGACTCTTAAATTCTTACATGATCTGAGTTTAAGCATGCTTGTCTTGGTCTTGCCTTTTCAGGATGGAAATATATTCTGGAATCCTACTTTTCCATCTTGCGTTGAATTAGTTACCAGAATTTGTTTGCTTTTCTCTTTTTATTTTGTTTTTATAAAGTGAAGCATCAAAGCCTGAAAATGTATAAGAGCGTTCAGACAAAAAATTGTATCAAGTGGTACTGAAAACGCCTACTGATAACGAAGGATTGTTTTAATTGTGTGGGACGCAACGGTTTAAATTAATTGAACAAATTGAGCATCGTTAGTCGTATTGAAGAGTTTGTTACAACAGCATTCCCCTTCCACCAGCTGGCCATTCACCATTGACGTTCTTTTGTTGTTCACTGTCGCGCACAATGTTGGCCAACTGTCGGCCTGCAATTATCTCAGCCAACTATCGATCCACGATGAATGGCTCATTTGAGGCCTCAACAGCGTATATTCCTATAAAGGGATGGAAAGAGGGGCGGTATAATGCCAACCAACAACAAGGGAGAAGCTGAGAAGCAAATCAGATAACGTTTGCTAAAATGCAACTAATTAGTTGGTATTAAGTGTTCATATACTTATAAGCATGCTTATGCATCCTCTTAACACGTAAGACAGCGGAATGGCAGACAGCGTTGTTAATAATTCAATTGAGGATATCAAAGCAATAAATATTGATAGCCATGAAGCGCATGACCTGGGCATATTAATATGGTTATCAGCATACTAGGTTTAAGGTGTCAGGCATTAGTTTATGTGGGACTGCAAATTTTAAAGAGCTTTAAATTTTAATTAGGTCAAGGGTAAAAGGGCAAAGGTAAAGTAAGATCTACAGCTCTTATGTATTTTGAAATGTCGAAATTTAACTTAAAATTAAATTAGGTGTCGATTCATCAATTCCTTACACAAAGTAATGTTATCTAATACTTCACAGAATAGGGGAGGGATATCGGCATTTAATACGAGTATATATGAACTGAGTAAAATTATTTTGTAGTCTTTGTAGGGCATATGTTTTGTACGGCATATGCTTAACACCAAATGTGTATACTCTTGAAAAAATAACTTGCCGCATCTATTTAGATTGCTGCAGAAGAGCGGCTTTCTTTAGTTTTTATAGCATATTGTATTTAATACTATTTAAGTTTTACGAAATACCTTGTAAGCTTACACTCCGAAAAAAGCAATTACTTTTGAATTTTAGTTTCATAACGATGTTGGACGTTAGGAGACAGACAAAACTTTTGATTTCCTTACACTACGTGTATCGATGTTGTGGAATGCAGGGTAAACAATATTATAGAAAAATATTGCACTTTTTAACAATTGTGATAAAAATGTTCAAATTTTATTTAGGAAGTTAGAGCAAACGAAAAGTCCAATATCATACCAAAAAGCCAGTGGCTTTCGCCGTGGCCTTAAAATAATAATATAAGAAGGTTTTCGAGGTAAAAATGTAAGAGGCGAAAATTTCTGATATACATTTGCGCCGAAAAATATTTATACATATTGTGTCAAAGGAACTAAGTCTATTTACTTTCCTTACTATAAATATAGTAGTCAGATAGGAAAATATTAATTAGGAATCTCATTTTCAATCTTGACATTATTTTAAACAGGAATGGGATACTATCGTAGAGTAACGTGCGCCCAATTTTAAAAGTCCTCCACCCACTACATTCCATAATGAAATGTACAAGAGGATATTACGTTTACGGGAGGTGAAAAATGTAACAGGCAGAAGGAGGCGTTGCAGACCCAACAAGGTATATAGTATATTCTTGATCAGCATAACAAGACGAGTCGATCTTAACCTGTCTATTCATCTGTCCGTATGAACACCTGGATCTCAGAGACTATAGTATTAGAGATAGAGACACAAATGTGCATTATGTGCAAGTTTGTTTTAGTTTTTGTTACATTTCCCCCATTGGGGATTTTGTGAAACGCTTGTAACGTTCGTATACTCATCTATATCTCTGAGACTATAAGAACTAAAGACACCAAAGTGCCTTATGTGAATATGCTTCTCCACTTGTTTGAAAAAATGAAACACAAACGGGACCTGTTTAGAGCTTGGTAGATATTGATTTTATATATACTTTTCGATTTCCTCGTGTTCATACAGACGAATAGACACTCAGTTGGAAGGACATGGCTATATCGATCGAATACATACATTTACTGTGTGGGATCCTTCTGTGTGCTACAGACATTCGCATTAAACTTCTATACCCTTTAACCCTTGGACACAGGGTATAAATTTTGCCTGCGATATCTGTATATTTATTATTATATAGTGCTATAGGGGCATTATTCAAAGGAGACTTCGTGGACTAGGAACGGCTTTTTAATAAAATTTGGTCGTTTTAATTTAAATAGATCCATGTGTATGAATTACCCGCCATTTGCGATTTGTCCAAAACTGAGAGTATCGCCGTCTCCAATTGTCTGTGATGGGCATTTGTTGGGTGTAACGTTGGCTTTGTGGACCGATGTCGCACTTTTTGGGTCACAAGCTATGTTTTATGACGCTGTGCATATGGAAGTTGCTGTTGTAGCTCTTCTATTCATTGTGTGTACACGTGTTAAAATTTAATTGTGACCCTTTCCAACTTCTCCGTTCCGGTATTGCGTGTCGCTTGTGGTTGGCAGAAGCCTTGCGCCATTAGGTGGTGCATGGTGAGGTACAGTCGAAGAGCCGAGCAGCTCGTTTGCATGTGCAAAGTCAAGGCTGTGCTTTGTTCCTATCCCCTGTCGGTACCCCCAACGTGTCTAACAATTTCTATACTTTTCGCCGAATTGTTGTGCATTATTTGGCTTTGTGGTCTTGTCGTTGAAATCGGCATCGGCGTCAAGTCCACACATACATACAAATGTAAGAGCATACATATAGTATAGACGAATATGTTTAAATACAAGGCATTTGAGTGCTGGGTAGTACCCTAGACAAGATGACGAGTTGGCGATAAAAGCGTCACACACATACGAGTACATACACGCACATATGCAAAGGACATTTGTGTTTTGTCGGCCCTTGCCAAATTATCGCTCATTCATCGCCTATTCAATACACGATGGAATGAAAAGCGGTACCCTAGTGTTGAAAGTAAAGTTAAGTAAATGAGCCACAATTGCTTGGCGGAAAACTCTTGGACTCCCACCACTTGTACTTGTATTGTACTTTTTGAGGTCGCAGGTTTTCTTTTTGCTAAGCCTTGGCAATCATTTAAAGCAATATAACTTTTTGTGACACTTTTCATCGAATATCGATTTCAGCATAAAGGTGTCTTACTAAATGGCTAGAGTTTAATGGACTACAAAATGGAATTGTGAAATTCTGGCTAATGATGTGAACGAAGGAATGTTCTCTATTATAAATATGTATCTTGCATATGTAGTATATGCCTTTTTCTAAAAAACACAAAGCTATGAATTTCGTGCTTAAAACAAACTAAATACGACGAGGGCTGATCAATAAGCATTAAAGTTTGAAATAAAGACGTAGTTTTTTCAATATTTTTTTTTTTAAGTTAGTCTCCTCCTACGATTGTAAATCTCTCAAAAATCGTTTCGCTCTAGACGATAATCTCTCGACTTTTTTGGAGCAGATTCATTCGAGATTGTTGTTCACTATCTCTTGGTCTCTGTCGTGTAATGCGATTCCAGATTCCATCCCACAATAAACATCGAAATACAAGCCCTAAATTCTGTTTTTTTCGAGTCTTCTCTTCCACATAACAAAGCCAAACAGTAAATAATAGTTGGTTTATCTCCAAGTGCCCAAAAATTACCGACTACCGACAGAAAGGATTTTATATTACCGAATTAAAAAGATACGAGTGTATATTAATGTTTGCCAGAAGTTCTAAGGACCTTGCCAAATTTTGAGAATTAATTAATTTTAATTAATTTAATTCACATTCAATAATTGTCACTGCAGACCGTGTGACCTGGCGCACATGGTTAGGTATTTGATTAAATACAACATTCTTATTCTTCTAAATATATACAATTGCGTGAGACGTATCAATATTAAGCGAGCGTACGTGGCGTATACGCAATAATCGCAGGCTATCATGTAATCGGGTAACATAACGGCCAGGTTTGTTTTATTAGTATTTTTTCACCCTAGTGCGCAAGGTAGATGAGTGCCCGATAACGAGCAGCGATTATAGCATTGATTGGCGCGCATGTATTAAAAAGATTTCGAGCTAAATGGATGTTAATCAAAAATCGACAGACTAAGGAGGGTATTGGGTACGAATATGTGTAAGCAATGGCACTTACCTGTAAAACAGCAAAAGCAACTGAGCAGACAAAATGCGAGGAGCAGCCATGTCGTCGCACTCGTCATAGCCAACGGCGGAAGCAACAATGGCCCCGAAACCGACGTCGGCGCAGACGTTGATGCTAATGTTGAGCGGCGATATCGCCGCTGCCATACTGTGCAGTGCTCATTGATTGTTGTAGCTGTAGTTGTTGCAGTTGCTGGCAGGCCTGTTGTTGTTAATGTTGTTGACGTTGTTGTTTTTGTGCCTTTTGCTGATGTTACCAGTAGGCGCCCAACTATGGCTGTGCATGTGCTTCTCATTGTCAGGCGCTGATTTTGAACTTGATGTCTCTCGTTGCCGCAGCCGCCGTCGATGTCGTTGTCGTCTCTGACGTGGTCGTTGTAGCACACTATGTGATAAATGCAATTGTTAAGTGCGACCCAAAAGTGTTTGTTAGTCACTCGTATTGCTTATGCGATTGTTGTTATTGTTTTTATTTATTTTTATTGCTACTATTGGTCTATAGTAAACGCAGCTGCGTGGTTCTGGGGGTGGCACACAGCCGTCCCCTTCGTTTCGTTCGATTTTTGCGAGCTTTTGAAAGAAATCTATAAATAATAAATTTGCTGGCCGCTTCGCTGCACACATACAAGGACCTCCGCGAAACCAGCTATGGAAGGAGTGCCAATGTGGCCGCCTATCGATTTTCGTGGTTGTGCCCTACGATACAACTTCTAATCCTTTTTGAGCCCTTTCCCAATTATGGACAGTGTAATGCAACCTCAACTCATTAACATCTTCGAAGTCTAATTTGGTTTTGTATCAATTTATTTATGTATGCCGAACTCCATACCAATGAATAGTTTCGAAAATTGACTTAAGGTAGATTAAATTTGCTTTTCTAACGGTCGTTGTACCTGTACCCTTAAGGTTAAAAGGGTATATTACGTTTTTGCAAAGTTTCTAACAGATATCTCCGACTCCATATTGTGTATATATTCTATATTCTATTCTATATTCCGCATGACGAGAGAATTCGATCTAGACATGTCCGTCCGTCTGGATGAACGCTCCTAGTCCGTAGGCAACACGAGTTTATTTTATTTTTCTGATTTCCAGGTTTCATAGTTTCATTACCAAAGTGCAAGTGTTTTCGGAGTTGAAGTTTTTAAACATAAATTGCTTCTCTTGAAGAAATATGTTTCTTTATCTTGTTACACCTTTTGTTTTATTCTTGACCCCTTATTTTCGATGCACATAGTATATGATCAAAAGTCGAACATGTCCATATAGTTCAATAAACTAAGGTCATTAGGTTTGAGCATATCAGAATAAAGTTCTGAATCTTTGTGTTTTCGCATCCTAGGAACTATCAGTAATTTTCTTATGATGGTATTATTCTACTGGCGAGTGAGAGAGAGTCAGCGATAGCAGGAAATAGACTAGCCACTAGCAATTAAATGTAGAACTAAGAGAATTAAAAATATTATTCGGAACGGAAGCAGATACTCTAATACAAGTATACATACGTACTTACAAGTATATCTTGAGCTGACAAGCATTACAATGAAGAACTGTTTATACTTGTAGGCATTTTTGAACTTAATTCGATTGATCTAATTTTGTTCTTGGTTTAGGGCTAAATATATTCCGAATAGCAATCAAATGAAAGTGTTGCCAGGAGAAACTAATTTAAGTTCATATTTAACAATTGATTGTTCTGTTAAGGATTCTACATTGATTTAGATTAAACTAAATAATTGAATACCAACTCAAATGTGCACGGCACCTTAATGAAAGCATTCAAGCTACCTCAAATGCCTTATTTGCGTTACAATCGCCGCTTGGACCAAAGTCGGTAGCAGCGGCAGAACAAAATTTGGCAAATTCTGCCTTGAGTCGTGGTGGCAACACGACACGTCTGAGCTTTTGCCTTCCTGTATTTCAACTACTACTAGGTCAACTTAATGGTATTCGGCTTACACTAGCTGCCACTCACATGCGCCCTTTTGATTGCAGTCGTTTACAGTGACAATGAAATGTTCTGCAATGTGTGTGTTGTTGGTTTTTGAAACGTACTATATAACGGCACTTTTGCTGCCCATCATCCGCGTCGCTCCCTACCTGTGTTCTAACCACTATTACCATCTCGCTCTTCGTGTAGAGCTGTCTGTGGCGTGCCAATGAGCAAATCAGCTGTTCCGCACTGAAGATGAGTGTCATGGTGAGTTGGAGAGGGGTTGAGTCAGCAGCCTGCTGCTTTGCTCGGATGTTTACAACAGTTTCGCTGCACTGCGCTGTTAGTAGAAAGTGCAGCGACGGCCGCATGACTCGTGCTTCTTCTTCCCTTTACTTTCTGCGCTTCTGACTTTGTTTTCAGTTAAGTATTGAGACTGCTGCCACACATAAGAACACAAGAATTCTACGAGTATGCTGTGCTTTTTATGGTTGCACTGCCTGCCAATTCTGTTGTGTATCAGGCCGCGTATATTTCCAGAATGTGTTACAATTCAAAATGTGTAGCTAAAGGGCACAAGATCAATGTGACCAGGTGACACTTTTACAATAATACTTAACAAGGTATCGAATACCTAACATGCCTCTCCTTAGCTTTGTCATAACACTCAATAAAATATATACATTTGCATTGATACATGGGCTGGGCACATACACGTGCGCGCACACACACACACACGCACACACCACTTTCGCATACAAATGCACAGCTAGTGAAGAAGGGAAATCGCATGTGCTTTTTTTCAATCTTATAAAATATTTGTACGTCAGAATTGCGACGTTTTCGAGGACTTTTTTATTCAGACGCCACTGCCACTGCCACCACCTCTGCCACCGCCGTTACCTCCTCCACGGCACGTTGTGCAAATAGCTTTATGGATTTTCTTTGCCTTTCACACACACACACACACACACACACAAATATACGCACAATTACATGCACACCCCGCAATACACGCAGTGTTTCCATTTACGCGCATTGATTTTCCTATTTTGTGTGTTTTGTTTTTGTTTCTTCTAGGCTTACTCTAGTTTGGGACGTTTCAAGGCATTTTTTTTACTTACACGTACATACATCTGAAGAAAATGTTTAACTTTGACACTTAATTTTGCACGCGAGCACTAAAAATACTTGCTCAGAGTGGAAAAAAAAAACAAAAAACAAAACACAAAATTTTCCCACACACATGCATGCAGAGCGATGGCGTTAGCGATGGTGAGGCGTCTGGGGAAGCGGGGCGGTGGCAAAGACGGAGGTCCGAGCGGACGCTCGCACGCTTCCGACAAAATGGCGTGCAACTTTTACGCGGCGACAGCGGCTACAATAAAAACAATAACAACAATTAAGGTGCAGCGATACCGCTGACAAAAACGAAAAGACAATACGGTGTCCTTTGTACGGAGATTTCTGTTGTCATTCAAATTTTATATTATTGCGAGTCAATTTTGCGCGCCTGAGACCCAAAACACACCGAGCACAGTTCCAAGCACTGACGACTGAAGCGCCACGTTTACAAAAATGGACTGACACTCGCAAATGTTGCGGGTCGGGTGTCTTGATACATCGAGCAACGAACGTCGAGAAACGAGTGCCTTGAGGGTGCGACAGCATCGAACATTCGCCGAAGTTGGAACGCAACATGTGCGCACCCGCATGTTGTAATGATAAATGGTAGGCGATTCAAGAGCGCAACTTTTTGCTTCTTCAGCACTCATACGTCACATGATCAATAGATGAGCCCGTATTCTTGATTTTGAGGAAAAATCTGTAATTTCGAACCGGAAATTTGCATTTGTATATACTGTAACCGTAGGGTAAAAACGGGTATATTGGGCTTATGTAGGCAACAGCGAGTAGGAAGGATATCCGACTCGAAAAAGGATATACATATGTTCTTAGCCAGTAAGACGAAACGAATCGATCTAGACATATCCGTACATCAAGATGGCTTCTTGGGTTTCAAAAACGTATGAGTCAACATTAACCAAACTTGGTAGTTGGGCTCTCCTAGTCCCTATGCAATAGAATTTCGTCAATATTGTTCTAAATTCTAAAGCTACATAAATTTGTTTAGTATTGACAAAATATGTGACATAGTGCCAGTACTTTTCTTAAACATGTGACAATTTATTGAAGCGCTTTCTTATTGCTGCCAAAAAATGTACTAGCGTAATGTGCCTCCTTTTTATTACTGCTTCATGCGCATTCGCACATCGGAGCTTTTCCTAAAAGGTTCTAAAACAAGAACAAATCAATTGAAAAGTTTAGTTCGGACATATGCTAGCTTAATGGAGCTTCCCAAAAGTTTTTCAAGATTTTCAACCCAAGTAATCACGAAAGGGTGGCGCAAAGGTGCATGTTCGTTGTGGGACTTTTTTAAAAGAGCTTTTAAGCCCCTTTGCTGATTTTAATATGAGATGTAAGCCAATTCCCAACTACAAGTAATTTGATTAAAATTAGTAAACGGAAATATATGACGTGAAAAAAGGGAACGAATTCAACGATTTTATCCGTAAGGTAAAAAGGGAATATTAATATTTGTGCAAAATAGTATGTAACAGGCGGAAGGAAGCATCTCCGACCCCAGAAAGTACATACTATACATATATTCTGATTTCCCTGTTTCTCTCGCTAAAGAATAGTCAATACTGTCCATGATTCCATAGCTACATACATAAACTAAGCTTTGCATATGTATTATAGTACATAGTATGTGCCTCCTATTTGGAGACGATGGAATGCACATATTCATAATATGATTCAAAAATGTGATTTGTCTACTTTCTGTCGTTCATAAGTATATTATAATGGCGCATTAGATTAACTATACCGTGCATACCGCCCATTTGCCGATTATATTCCTTTATGATGCGATCGAGTCACTTTCTGTAGTTGCTCATCCGTAGTCCGGAAAATATTGTTTGAACTTCAACTGTTTGGGGCCAGGCGGCAGCGACTTTTTAGAGCAAGCGAAACACGTAATCAGCTTTCTTTTCACTTCATCGTTAATTCCAGGAACAATTGTATAATTCTATAGAATATTTCTTATCTCACAGCTTTTGTGCGCTTAAAAATAGTATTCGTTCCCGCTCGAACCCAATTAAAACTAGATCTCACATGTTTCATGGAAAATATAGTTAGCCCTAGGAGGCAACACCAAGATACTTAGATCAAATTAAAATATATTAATAGAATTTCGCGGTGTCGAAAATAGATAATCAATCATGCGATGTAAAAAAGTTTTCAAAGTAGATGATGTGATTATTGTTGTCTGGGACCCATTGGGAAGTCTAACGACGACATTAGTTAGCTTTAAGGTCTGGAGCATACTTGAGAACGAGAATAGCACCAGCGCGTGATTTAATTTCGAAAGGTAGATTTAGAATAACTGTCTGACAAATTGTTATTGGAATGCAGTCGTTTGCGAAGCTTTTTAAATTCATTGCGATTCATTGTGTTGATCGCAGTTTGATTCGAATATTTAACCTAGAAAACACTAGTAATGAAATCAAAGGGTGTTTCAATATTTGAATTAATCTGGCATTCTCTTTTGTCCTTGGAAAGCCGTAAACGTCGTTTCTTCCTAGTCATCAATTTAGATATTTGTGAATTGTTTTCCAATTCAGTTGCATAGCCGATAAAAACTCCACGCATATGACCAGAGGGCCCACCAAGCTCAGTTTGGATGTCATTTTAGGGCTCACGGCGACTACAATATCCATAATGCAAACACATTTTTTATACCCTGTACCCGTAGGGTAAAAAGGGTATATAAGGTTTGTGCAAAGTATGTAACATGCAGAAGGAAGCATCTCCGACCCCAAAAAGTATATATATTCTGAATCAGCATGACGAGAGAAATCGATCTAGACATGTCCGTCCGTCCGTCCGTCTGTCCGTCTGGATGAACGCGAGGATCTCAGAAACTATAAAAGCTAGAATAACCAAAGTTGGCATCCAGATTCTCCTAGGTCCGAGAAAGGACGAGTTTATTATTTTTTTAATTTTCCTCCCTTCCCCCGCTACAGAATTTCGTCAATTTCAAATGCTACCTAAACCAAACTTTGCACACATAATTTATATATAATTATCTACTGTTTAAAATTTTATTCAATTTGGTCAATTCTAAGAAAAGTTATTAGCGAAACAAATTCTCTACAGTACAACCCCCACAAACTGCAGCAACAAGCTCGCTCTTCTTCTTCCTCTTTTTGCTTCTGCTAGGGGCGCATATACCTCAGTGTCGGAAGAGTTCCTGGGTACAGGGTATTTCACTGTCGGGCTTGTTCGACTGTAGCGTTCTCTCTTGTTTTTACCATACTTTCGTGTTTCTTCTTATATAATAAAATGTTCTGCTCACCAGTATTTTTCCCATAATAATTTAAATTTGTTTAGCTCTGCACACAAGCGTTTTCTCAAATCCGAAACCAGCATAAGTTGACTCTGAACTGAGTGGTGTAGCATGAAGGAGCCTAAAAGTCGTTTTTAAACTCGGTTCAATTTTATTTATTCTGGATTTCGAGGGGGACTTTTTTAATTAAATAAATTGATTTTGCCAAAATTATTGTTTATTTTTCTTATTTTGAAAAGTCCTGTTTACTTTAGAACGCGCCTTGTACCACGCCTCCTTCTGCGTTTTACACACATTCGCAATAAACAGGCACAACTTTTAGGTATAGGGTATTCAGATATTGGAACCATATTACATATTGAAGAGGGATAGAGTTTTTGTTGGAAGAAACAATGGAGTGTACGATTATGTACAGTGGGCAAACAAGTTGTTGTGTACTTACACCTAATAAAAATGCATTATTTGTTTATAAAAGTATCGAATTTAACATATACTTATATATCCTTGTTTTCTGTTTACCTAATATTTAAGGGGACTATTTTATTTTAGTCTACCCAAAAATTTTTACGAATAATAATAATAATAATATTAATATTCATTTTTATGACGCACTATTTCGCCTTTAAATGGATCTGAGTTGGATTTGTTGAAGTTTTTTCATTGATCATATGCATAAGTTATTTTTTAAATGCATCGTGCATTATTTAATCAAAATATTAATTTTTTGGCTTCCCCCTTTGGTGAAAGCTGCCTACGCCCTTGCCAATCATAATCTGAAGACTTTGGATATATTTTTGTCCGAAAATTCACTAATTTAATCGAATATTCTTTAAAAATCAAAGTGTACTTAAACTTTTTTTGTCCACTCTATATAGTGTCAAGGGAGACGAAGATTACTGCTGAGGTAAGTTTTATTGTAAAACTTGTAGTAGTACGTTTTGATTGAATCCGTCAGAGTTTTAGTGGGGATGGTATAGATAGTGGTTGTTTTTATAAATTCATAAAAAAGAACAAAAAAAATTTTGTTTTAATATTATTGGTTTATCTCATTTATTTATGGAACAAGTGCATCCTGATAGCCCAGTTTTACGAATGGCGTCAAATCGCATGTGTTGAAACCATTGATCGTCCGAGTCCTCCTAAAATAA